TAATAATTTATATTAATTAAAATATAATATAAATAAATAAAAAAAACAGAAAATAAAATAAATAATATATATTAATTAATTTTTTTTAAAATAATAATAACAAAAAAACACAAAAAACCAAAAAAAAAAATCATATTGAAAACTATATAATAACTCATAAGGGTCCATTAGCCTCTCCCAATATTAGGTCTCATCTCTGAAAAAGTTGTAGTTCTCTTAAAAACATTGGGTCTGATCTCTGAAAAGTTGTACTTTCGCCAAACACGTGTCAAGAGAGGGAGTGGATGGCGTAAACGGTGTGTCGGTGGTGGGGCCCTATGGAAATCAGTATGTTGGTTGTGGGGCCTATCGTATACGTGTCATTTTGTTTTTGGATCCTTTAATTCGGTGGGTCAAAGGATTTGACCACGTGGACGGTGGATCCCACATGTACTTTCACCAACGTTGAAGGAATTGTTGACGAAAGTATAGGTCATTCGTGCAAATACTAGAAAAAGTGGTCATTTTCTTTAAATACACCGCGGTATTTTTGTCATTTACGCTATTTTCCCCACAAGAAATGGTTTGTGGCCCCATCTCAATTCCTTTTTTCGTAACTGTGGGTGTCTGTGCCAGTTTGGGCAAACGGCCAATAGAATTCCGACGTTTAATCATTTTCTTGATTTGGGCACTTGTTGATCTTGGTTGTAGGCACTCGCGACTGAGATGGCTCCACATACTCGTGTGAACTGCGTTGCACCAGGGACCATACCTACACGCTTTGCAAGGTTCATAACCGATAACGATATTATTGTAAGTGAATTCTTTAAAACGGGATCTTAGGTATTTGATCATCAGTCAACACTCTTTGATGAAACTGATTACATTCGTTGATGTTGTCAGAGAAACACGATTGAAGAAAAGACGCCGCTCAAGAGGCTTGGGACGGCGGAAGATATGGCGGCAGCCACTGCTTTCTTGGCCTCTGATGAAGCTTCATATATCACCGGTGAGACGATTGTGGTTGCCGGAGGAATGTCTTCCAGATTGTAGATAATAAACCCTCAAAACATATAAGATGCAAATGGAATCTCTATGATCGAATTATTGAATATTTTGAACATTTGATTAATGGTCAATGTTTGGTCAACGACGTTTTCTTTTTTAAGTATAGAATATTTATATACGACAAATGTAACAAATAAACTCACACACCCTCCTCACCTTTGGTGAAGTTTGAATCCCTAACCTTCTAGGAGGCCAAAGGCTACGATACTGCTAGGCCGTCTTTACACATTTGGACGAATCTTTAATACATGAAATCTTTTTGTCAAGAGTCCTACATCGGCGAGACTTAGACCATTTATTCTCTGTATAAGATGGAACCTTTTCCTTCTCTTCTCAAGGGACACTTTTGCAGAGTAAAATGGGTTTTAACATATTCTCACATGATGTCAGAGCTCAACTTTACCTCTTGAGACTTGAAACTCTGGGGCAATAGCCCCCCACCTGTCTAGCCCCTTTGGGACAATGTGAGCCGGTTTAGCCTACCTAGCCCCCTTTGGGGCTCTTTTGCCGAGTAATATGGGGTTCTACATATTTTAAAATGGTACAAGAGCTTAGATTTATTTCTAGGGGTTTGACACTCTAGGAAAATAATGTCTAGCCCCCTCTGGAACATTGAGTCGGTCTAGCCTACATTGGAGGGGGCGTGTTAAGAGTCTCACATCGGCTATATTTATGACCATTTGTCCTCTACATATGATGGAACCTCATTTTCGACCTCAAAGGCTCTTTTGGAGAGTAATCTGGGAGTTCCTTATCTTCTCATACTTTGACATCAACGATATATTGCTGAGTTATTTACGTATGTTTTCTTTATTTGTTTTTTACGTACCGTTTTGGTCATCTTTGTTCTTACTCAACAAAGTCAAAATTCAAATAGTTTGATGGATTTGGATAAAAATAAAAGATGCAATATTGCATTGTTTCACCAAAACCATTAAACCATCACTTCCAAATGTTGGCATGGTCTTTGCATAACCAACAATACATAAGTTTATTCAAGTGATGACCTCCAACATATATAGAAGGTTAGTGCCCCTCACCCGGTGGAGATGGACCGCTTCCCGTCAGCCAAAAAGCTAGACGAATCGGTTTGCTTTTTGAAACCCCGTAAGCTGGTGGCACTATTGGTGGCAGTTGCACGAGATGATCAGACGTAGGGTTATTCCCCTCACTAACATATGTAGGTCCTTCTGTGGCCGACCCATATGCTGGTCCGTTTTTGGCTGGCCTGTTTGCTGCCAAACTATATGTTGGCCCGTTTGTGGCCCGCCCATATAGTGGCACAAACCCATATGTAGGGCCTTTCCCCTCACTAGGTGGCTCTGGTCCATTTTTGGCCGGACCATAAGGCGATGGCGTTATTGATGGTGATGGCACGGGCACATACTCCAAATGTTGATCAGACGTAGGACCATTCGTGAAGGAAGAAATGACAGATTGACCGATTTTTAGAACTCTTGATGCTCGAGTTAAAGATGGATGTTGATGTGCAAATAAAAGAAGGAAGCAAAGAGTTTGCACAATCAAGGGCCTCATGACAGGGTTCTCGACTAGCAACGCTTGAAGCAAAAACTCGTAAAAGATAGACTCTAAAACCCAGATACTGATTCTTACTTGGTATCAGAGTTTTTGATCGATGTACAGGAAAGCATTTCACCTTCAAATTTATAATCACTGAATTGGGCAAATCTGATCAGGTTTATCTTCCTTGAGAAGACAAATTTTCCGCTAACCTGAAGCTTTCACATTGTGTATGGTCGGCTTCTAGAAAACATAACGTTTTTTGTGATCCTATCACGTTTATCTACCTACTTGACGAATGAATTGATAAAAAATATAGTCATAACTTTGAACACAGACCACTGGAAGTGTAAAAACGTTTCATTCCATATGAAGAATCTGTCACGTATATCTCTATAGCAAGCACAAACTTTTTCCATTGGTAAATTGAAACGTTCACGTTTTATAATATACAAAATTTAAAATTAAAAAACAAAAAAGGTTATTGCCCTCGTTCCTTTTCACTTTTTAGCCCATTTAAGTTGTATTTACGCATAACCTACTTAGCAAATAATTTATTAACTAAAATATATTAATAATATGTTTTTTTTGTACAAATCATGTTATTATAAAAATCTCGTTAATCTATATTATATTATAAAACATTTGACAAAAATTCTTAAAAACCATTTTTATGCATAAAGGAACATTTATTAATGCATTTTACTTGAAATTTAATATTACAAGTAGATTATGCGTAAATACAACTTATTAAAGCTCAATGTTTGAATTCGTGCAAATAACTTCGGATAAATATAATTAATTAGAGGATAAACATCTTATTTTAAAATATAAAAAATCTAAAATATAATTAGAATAATTATTGAGTTTTAATATAATACTTAATTATTATATTTATTAAAAATATATTATTAAACTAAAAATAAATTATTTCGTTATTAAATTCAATTATAATAAAAATCTAAATTAAATGAATTACATAAAAAACCGAGAACTCTTAGACAATTAATTTGATACAAATATCGATATATAATTTTTTTTTCCAAATTTTTACGATATTTTCAAAATTTATATTTTATTTAAAAAAATTATTATTTTCTCAAAACGACATAAAATCGTATTATACATTAATAGAGACAGAATAAAATAAAACACTAAAATTGAGATACATCTCATTGCATTATGTAAGTATCATTCTAATATTATTAAAATGAGTCTCATATTAAATACCGTGTTCCTATTTTATTTTTTAATATACTAATTTAAATATAATATCATAAATATATTTTTAATTGAAATAACATTTTTGTATTTTATAAATAATCTATATTTATAATGTTATTACACTTTTAAAATAAAATAGTATCAACAACAACAATAATAAATATAAGGGAAAATTGTACCAAAATGGAACTAACTTTCACCTAATTTTTATTTTGGGGAACCAACTTTCAAAATCGTCATTTTGGAGAACCAGCTTGCACCTGATTCCTATTTTGAGGAACCAACTTGCAAAATAATTATAGAAAAATAACTAAAATTCGTTTTTTTCCAAAAATTAATGCGATAAAATCTATTTTTCATTTCAAATCTCATTTTTTTTTTATAATTCAGATATCAAATTGAACATTTAAAAAAAAAATCCAAATTAACACAATAAAAATTATTTTTTACTAGTGCAAAAAAAATCAATTTAATAGAAAAAAAATTAATTGATGCAATTGGTTAGATATAAAAATCTTGAATGTGATATTTAATATATATTTTTTATTGCATCAATTAATTTTTTTCTATTAAATTTTTTTTTTTGCATTAGTAAAAAACAATTTTTATTGTGGTAATTTGAATTTTTTTTAAATGTTCAATTTGTTATCTGAATTAAAAAAACGAGATTTGAAATGAAAATAGATTTTATTGCATTAATTTTTGAAAAAAAAACGAATTTTAGTTATTTTTCTATAATTATTTTGCAAGTTGGTTCTCCAAAATAAGAATCAGGTGCAAGTTGGTTCTCCAAAATGACGATTTTGAAAGTTGGTTTCCCAAAATAGGAATCAGATGCAAGTTGGTTTCCAAAAATGACGATTTTGAAAGTTGGTTCCCCAAAATAATAATTAGGTGAAAGTTGGTTCCATTTTGATGCAAATCTTAACGGTAAAAGTTTAAAGACATTTCATATTTGACTTAATATTTTAATGATATTAAGAGACTCTTTTAATGATATAATTTATAAAAAGAACAAAATTTTAATATATTTTAGTCAATAAATTATTAATTATTTAATACAATGAATATATAAACTAAAAATTAAAGAAATATAAAATTTTGCCTAAAAAAGCATCTAAGTGGTCTGTACAATTACCAAAATTACTTGTTACTAAAAACAGCTATTTTGGGACAATAAAAAAAGTAACTTAGAAAATAATAATGAATTATAAACTATATTGTTTTAATAGATTATTTTTTAAAATAATTAAAATATAAAGTTATTAGAATTTTATAAACTTGATGTAATAAGAGAGAAATGATTTTTTTAATTATATTATTTTATATAAAATAATTTGAAAAAGCATATTAAAGTGATAAAATTAAAGATTATTTTAATAATATAATTAACGTCGAAATCTTTAAAATAAAAAAAATTGTTATAATTAAAAATGTAGTTATTTTTAAAGATTTTTATAACTTTTATTTCTATATTTCCCAAAATACGACCCAAATGGTGTCGATGGGTATTTGCGTCCCTTCACATGTTTAATCTACAAAAAAGGAAAAAGAAATGGTCACATTTTACTTACCAAGTTTTTAAAAAGGAACCGGATTTTTGTCAAAAATGCAACACACTTTTGAAGAACCATCTCCTTTTTCACCATATTCAACTATAAATTAAAATAATGCCACATTTTTTTTAATTTCTAGCATGAATAGTAAGATTTGAGATTATGTGAGATCAACTTGTTTTCGTGAGACCCGTGAGACCCGTGAGACCACATTTTTACATTTGAAACTTAACAGCAAAATGTTGTGAATGTGACTTTTTTTAACCTTCACAGTGTTTTTGCTATGAAGGTTCGACTTTTTTCTAACATTCACAATGTTTTTGCTGTGAAGCTTATGTGTAAAAATGTGGTCTCACGAAAATAGGCTGGTCTCACGTGAACCCAACCCTGAATAGTAATATATATATATATATATACTATATTATAAAACGTTTGACAAAAAAATTCTTAAAAACCAGTTTTTATGTATAAAGTACTGTTTATTGATGCATAAGTACAACTTATTAAAGCTTTATGTTTGAATTCGTGTAACTAACTGCGAATAAATATAATCAAATAGATGATAAACATCTCATTTTAAAATATAAAAAATCTAAAATATAATTAGGATAATTATTGGATTCTTGATCATCTTTAATTTCAAACTCATCCATGAATCGTGCTTGATACATAGATTGATCCAGTGTATTTTGGTGCATATCATCCTAATGTCCATTTAAAGGTGGAGATATCTTCTTATATTTCTCATCGAAACCCCCAACCCATATATATATATATATATATA